TTATTAATTGATTTGCATTTTAATGAGGAAAATAAGTATTTGACCCCTCTGCAAAATATGACTTAGTACTGGGTGGCAAAACCCTTGTTGGTAATCACAGAGGTCAGACGTTTCTTGTAGTTGGCCACCAGGTTTGCACACATTTCAGGAGGGATTTTGTCCCACTCCTCTTTGCAGATCTTCTCCAAGTCATTAAGGTTTCGAGGCTGACGTTTGGCAACTCGAACCTTCAGGTCCCTCCACAGATTTTCTATGGGATTAAGGTCTGGAGACCTGCTAGGCCACTCCACGACCTTAATGTGCTTCTTCTTGAGCCACTCCTTTGTTGCCTTGGCCGTGTGTTTTGGGTCATTGTCATGCTGGAATACCCATCCAAGACCCATTTTCAATGCCCTGGCTGAGGGAAGGAGGTTCTCACCCAAGATTTGACGGTACATGACCCCGTCCATCGTCCCTTTGATGCGGTGAAGTTGTCCTGTCCCCTTAGCAGAAAAACACCCCCAAAGCATAATGTTTCCACCTCCATGTTTGACGGTGGGGATGGTGTTCTTGGGGTCATAGGCAGCATTCCTCCTCCTCCAAATACGGCGAGTTGAGTTGATGCCAAAGAGCTCCATTTTGGTCTCATCTGACCACAACACTTTCACCCAGTTGTCGTCTGAATCATTCAGATGTTCATTGGCAAACTTCAGACAGGCATATATATGTGCTTTCTTGAGCAGGGGGACCTTGCGGGCGCTGCAGGATTTCAGTCTTTCACGGCGTAGTGTGTTACCAACTGTTTTTTTGGTGACTATGGCCCCAGCTGCCGTGAGATCATTGACAAGATCCTCCCGTGTAGTTCTGGGCTGATTCCTCACCATTCTCATGATCTTTGCAACTCCACGAGGTGAGATCTTGCATGGAGCCCCAGGCCGAGGGAGATTGACAGTTCTTTTGTGTTTCTTCCATTTGCAAATAATCGCACCAACTGTTGTCACCTTCTCACCAAGCTGCTTGGCGATGGTCTTGTAGCCCATTCCAGCCTTGTGTAGGTCTACAATCTTGTCCCTGACATCCTTGGAGAGCTCTTTGGTCTTGGCCATGGTGGAGAGTTTGAAATCTGATTGATTGATTGCTTCTGTGAACAGGTGTCTTTTATACAGGTAACAAGCTGAGATTAGCACTCCCTTTAAGAGTGTGCTCCTAATCTCAGCTCGTTACCTGTATAAAATACACCTGGGAGCCATAAATCTTTCTAATTGAGAGGGGGTCAAATACTTATTTCCCTCATTAAAATGCAAATCAATTTATAAAAATTTTGACATGCGTTTTTCTGGATTTGTTTGTTGTTATTCTGTCTCTCACTGTTCAAATAAACCTACCATTAAAGTTATAGACCGATCTTTTTTTTTTATCAGCGGGCGAACGTACAAAATCAGCACGGGATCAAATACTTTTTTCACTCATTGTAGCTATTTTTCAGGAGCGTCCTGACCACAAATGGAGTTCAAGGACGTGGCTTATAATGTGGAAATTTATAGCAGCCAAATACTCTAAACGGATGTTTCTAAATGTGGAGGGAAAACCAGAGAACCCGGAGAAAAATCCACGCGACCACGGGGAGAATACGCAAACTCCAAGTATACAGGCATCAGTGTCAGGATCGAACCCACGATCTCCTGCATACCAGACAACGTAGCCAGCACTACACCTGGCCGCCTTTGAATCCCCAGTGGTGGTGTTTACACACCACACCAGGTACTCATTTGAGACTTGAGTCGACTGAGAGGAGGCCCAGGACCCATTCAGATCATCGTCACTGGTGTTGGTTGTGAGCGGGAATCGAACTCGGGTCGTGAGGTCTGTTCGTGCAGTCCGCTACCCGTTGCATTACCGTTCCCCCCACTCACACACGTGGGGGGGGGGGGGGGGGCGTGCATGTACACACACACTTTCAAACAACAACATCCACACGCCACGAGACGTGACTTTGACGCTTGTGCCATGCTCGGTGCATTTTGGGGCTATGGGAAGTGTCGAAGGCCCGTTCGCAGGTCAGGGACCAGACCCAGCTGCCATGGTCTGACTGAGATGGCTGGCAGATGCACAAACTGTGCTCCCCACTGTGCCAACAACAACCGCCATTCGCCACTAAGTGGCGGTGACGTCACTACGACGCTTGTGCCAGGCTATGTGTACCTTGAGGCCACGTGAAGTGTCGAACGCCCGCTGGCAGGAGGTCACGGGGCAGACCAAGGTGCCACAGGTCGACTGATTGAGATGACTGGCTGATGCACCACCGGTGCCCCCAAATGTGCCAACTTGCTGTGCTTTAGCCACCCGGCGCTCCACTCGTTGTTGTGAGCGTCGCTCCTCTGCTCTCCGTTGCTGTTGGAGGGCGACTGCCTCCAACTGCCGAGTAGCGTCCTTCACGAGCCTCCTCCACCGAGGCCGATCTTGACACCGCTGGTACCAGTCATCGGCAAGTCCACTCAGCTCCACGTCCTCCTGTACCACATCACTCCATCTCTTTTCTAGCCCGTGCCGCGCCCGTTTAGCCCCCTCTATCCGGCCGAACAAAAGCTGTTTAGGCATGCGGTGGCTGGGCATGTAGGCTACATGACCCAGCCAATGCAGCCTTGCCTGCCGGAGAAGCTCACCGATGGAACTTTGATTTAAAGCTTTCGTGACTGCAGGGATTCATCTTCTTGGTTCTTTCGGTAAAGTCACGTAGAAGGGAAGTAATAAAATAATAAAAATAAAACATAATAAAATAATTCTCACGACGTTTCGGCCACAACGCAAGCAGCCGTCCTCAGGTGAAAACCAGGTCTGTCGAGGCGACAGCGTCTGAATGAAACAGCACCATGCTTGGAGCATATATTTAAACTGGGTTGGAAGGGGGGGGGGAAAGGGCGCCTTGACAAAAGAATTTGCATATCAAGAGGAATTTAGCATATTTATGGGGAATGCAGGTATGTGATTAGTACTACTTATGCCCGTGCATTATGCAGGATTAGCAGCATCAAAGGGAGGGGATAGGGGTAGCATTAATAAAGGGAAGGAGTGTTAAGAGTATGTAGCTGCAGTAACTAAAACCACCACGTAAACAACTAAAGTATAAACTACATAGTATCATCAGTATACTAAATATATTCTACAATAAGCTGAGTTACTAACAGTAAGTAATATATTACAATTCTACGTCGTAAAAAATATAATATGCTTCAATCTAAACTTTATTCTCTTACATCACATGAGTCTACACCGTACTATATACTGCCATAGACAAACCCAACATTAAATTATATACTGTATTGCTATAAACCTTATACATTGTAATATTACACTATGTATTATTCTACCCACCCTAATGTATATCACACTGCTGTATATTCACTATACAATTAGGATACTATATATTACTTTGTACATTGTATTAAGCATATAAATTTTATACTATTTGTTATTATACACTGAGACAATTTCAACCGAGAGGATGGATTCTGGCTTAGCAATCATTGGAAGGACTAATAAACCATTTCGGATCTTAACTGATTGTGTTCACGTTTACAATGACTTTCAGACCGCGTTCCACTCACTATGATATTGACTTAATATTGACTTAATATTTTTCGCTAATTTTTGAACTATTAACCGTTGTATTAAGGGAAACGAGAGAAAAGTTATTATATATGTCTCGTGGCGCCTACTGCCTGTATTGTGTGTGTGGGGGGGGGGGGGGCTTTTGGAGTGGTGGTGCGACCTTAAATCTGGTTAGCCACGATCGTGAGCAGAGGGTCAGGGACTCCGAAAGCACGAAGAACAAGCCAGAGCCCAGGCCTACTGATGGTATCATAGGCCTTGACCAGGTCAATAAAGCAGACATATAGGTCTTGTTGGAATTCCCTACACCTCTGCTGTAGCTGACGGACAGAAAATATGGCATCTGTGCAGGACCGCCCTTTCCTGAAACCGCATTGGGGCTCTGCAAGCCTTTCCTCATCGTGGCTAGCAAGGCGATGTTGAATAATCCTTGCCAGGACCTTTCCCGGCACACTGAGGAGTGAGATGCCCCTGTAGTTGTTACAGTCTGTGCGTTCCCCCTTCTTAAAGAGGGGGACCACCACGGCATCCTTCCAATCTTGCGGAACCCGTCCAGTGGTCCAGACTGTTGTTATGATGTCATGTAGGGCAGTCTGTGCACAAACGCCACCCTCCCTCAGCATTTCGCTTGGGAGATCATCTCTGCCCGGTGCCTTTCCTGGTCTCAGACTCTGGATCGCCTTCAGTACTTCATCAACAGATGGCACCTCAGCCAGCCACTCACAGGGGGTGACTCCTTCTTCCAATATTTGAGGCACCGCAGTAAGGTCATCCCCACTTTGTGCCACGATGTTTTCCTGGCTGAGGGATTTCCCCTCCCCCAGGACCTCACATAAATGCTCAGCAAATCTGCAAACCTGTTCCTGGGGGTCGGAGATTGGATCACCGTTTTTTCTCACAATGATGTTATTAGGTGTGGCGCTGCAGGTAACTTTTTTGATGGAGTTAAATAGGGATTTATGATCGCGGGGCACTGAGGTAGACTCCATCCCCTCAGCAACCCGCGACCACCAACCATCGTTGCAGCGCCTCACGGCTCTCCGAACCTCCGAGCGAAGGCTGCGGTAAGCCTCCTCATTCTCTGACGTGGGATGCTGTAGACGATTAGAGTGGCCCTGTCGCTTTTTCTTAACCATCCACACACATACATACACACACACACAAACACCCCAGGCGGGTTGCTGTGACTAATTTAACTCGTGGAGTATCGCTCTGCTGAACAAATAGTTCCACGGTTCGGTTCACAAGTGCGAGTTCGTATATCCAGGTCGATGTAAAAATAAACTCTTGGAAGCCGGTTCACGAGTGCGGATGTTCATAAGTCGAGTGTTATGTTTAGTATTAACATCATTAGTATTATGATTTCAAAGTTGAAACGATCATGTTCATTTCCTGCACACTTTCATTTGCAGGCAACTCGTCGTGCTCAGCCCCTCAGGGTGCGTCTCTGGTTCACTCATTTGACCGAAAGGTTCGTCCCTACATCGACCTGATCGACCAGCTGCGCTATCTGGGCGTGGACCAGGACGTGGGCCTCCCCGCTGTGGCCGTCATCGGGGACCAAAGCTCGGGCAAGAGCTCTGTGCTGGAGGCTCTGTCTGGGGTGCAGCTTCCACGTGGCAGTGGTGAGCGAAAAGACATCGCAACACCCCAATATAGGACCACAGAGCTTGGGCAATTGTTGGCATTTGTTCTGGTTGCCTTCCCGCTTGTCTGTAGGTCTTTGCGCTTCTGCACGCAATCTGGGCATGTTAGAACTCTACAGCGTTTTGAGATTCAATTTGCATGAATGCTGCTATAGCCAAGTAAAATGATTACTAATTAACAGTGCCAGACTTTGACATCGTTGCCTTTTGTCAGATCCTCGCACCTAATTTTAAAAACCGCTCACAATATCTCACGTTCTGGCTTTAGGTCTTCCCCGACTCTCCTCCACCCTGCACACGTGTCCCACGGATCACAACCTCCTCCTCTGTCTCTGCGTGCAGGCATCGTGACGCGCTGCCCGCTCGCCCTGAAGCTGAAGCGCGCACCGGGCCCCTGGGTTGGACGCATCAAGTACCGCGTGCAGGGCCGCATCGTCAACACGAAGCTCGACTCTCCAGAAAGTGTGGGCGACGCCGTCCTGCAGGGTACGGCGCCGTGGGTCGTGACACAACGAGTCCGTGAAATATGGAGGGATCATGCAATGCATGACCATCGTCTATCCAGTGGAAAGGAATGCCACATGATGGGTTGGAGCAATGGGATCAGTCTGGATTCGAAATCGCTATTATATCTATCGATTTTTGTTCCGTAATTTCTTATATGGGCAAGGACGTGCCCAATGTAACCTTAATTGGGGATGACACACCCAGTTTACATTTCCCTAATGTGCCCCTCAATATTTCAAGGACTCGTCATATCTCTGTAGAGCGTCCCGCACTCCTCCACACCCACACGTAAATAAACATTTAAGAAATGCAAAAATCATGCTCTTAGCATCTCGAATGTGCATTGCTGTCTGATCAGACTGCATTCATGAAGTGGTTGAACTCAAGGTTTTTTGTTCTTGTGTTTGTCGGGTAGAGGATTCTGTGTGACAGACCCCCGCTCCCGTAGTAGGGGGCGGATGATCGCTGCCATGTATATCGCAATCGAGTCGTTTGAGAGTACCGGTCATTTCCTCACTGTGGCAATATTGGACCGTGGCGCCAGCACATAATGGGCTACTCTACTTTGAATGATTTCACAGGATCTTTAACGTACACCGACGTGTATATTTATGGTTAATACATTCGCAGTATTAGCAGGCGGTTTTTTTTACTCCATGTATTTAATGCACAATGATAGACTCATAATAAAACAAATAAAACGCGATTGCATCTACATCTTCTTCTTCCTGCTCTCAGGCTTAATATTGACAACGTCCCTTGTTTCTCACAGCCCAGTCAGAGTTGACAGGGGATGATCTGGGCGTGAGCAAGACCCTCATCGAGCTCGAGGTGACCTCTAATAGTGTTCCCGATCTCACCCTCATCGACCTGCCCGGAATCGCCCGCGTAGCCCTTGCTGGCCAAGCCGTCGACATTGAGACTCAGGCATGTGCTCTCCACCCCAATGCTCACCACCTTGTTGAACGTAGCGGAGCATACATTCCGGAACCCGCTCGTAATGGACACACGGCACCACTAATTGCACAACTCAAGCCAAACCAACAAAATGTCATCATTGTGTAGGGCTTTATTACTATGGGAACCTCATTTGCCAGTAAAAATATGATAATTGTTTTTTTTACCCTTCTATCTGGCAACAAAACTGACACCTTTTTACAAGGAGTCATGTTTGCATAGACTGCAATACCTGCAGTCATAATACAAACAAAAGACATAACTCTGATCATGTGCACTGTCCAACCCATGTGAGACTAGGCTCTAAGAAAAGCTGTCTCGGGTGTGGACCAATCAACTTCAAGGACAGTGCACATTTTCAGAGTTATGTCTTTTGTTTGTATTATGACTGCAGGTATTGCGGTCTATACAAACATGACTCCTTGTAAAAAGGTGTCAGTTGTGTAATAAAAGACTCGGACGCTTCTCTCTGTCCTGTGTCCTTTATTTGGGTTCGATCTCTTTTCCCTCACGGCACTCCCTCTTACTCTTCGCTCTGCAGCCCCAGCTGCTATCGCTCACGTAGCCCACTCACAGCACTCCCTTATATACTCTTCGCTCTTGCAGCCCCCAGGCTGCTGTCGCTCACGTAGCCCACTTCTCCCCTTGCAGACCCGCTGCTGTCCCGTCGTGCAGACCCCAGCTGCCCAACTCCACCCTTGCAGACCCGCTGCTCTCTCTGCAGTCTCCTCGCTGCTACTTCAGCCCCGGGGTCGGTCACCGTTGGCCGACGGTGCCGATCCTCGGGGTCTGTGTGTGTGGCGATCTCGCCACTCTCTCTCTTCCTCACTCCGCCCTGCGTGGCCTCACACTTTCCCCAGTCTCCGATCACCCCCTACTGCTTCCGGTTTCTCCCCTTATAGACCTGAACCCTCTGCCCCACGTGACGTAACTCCTCCCCCCATGACGTCACTTCCGGAAGGTCGTTTACGCCCGCATTACAGTTGTGTAGGGCTTGTTTACCCAGGAAAGCCTCACTGAGTCCGAAGACTCTTTTTCAGGAGGATCCTACCAAGTTTTTACAGGAGGGAGTGACGATTTCTGCGTGTTTCCCAAAGTTACGTGAGGAGACCAGGTGGATAAGAGGTCAGGGCATGGAACTGGCATCGATAAGATGATGAGTTCGAATCCAGGCAGCCACTTGGGATTAAAACCGGATTTTCAAGTCTAGGGAGTTGACCGTCTCAGCCTAGTCATCAATAACAATACACAAAAAAATACATTTTCTCATTTGATTTAGCACTTAATTGGCTATATTTCATCTCTGAGAATTTGAATATTGGTTTGACTGCCATGTGACCATAGTCGCCCCAACATGGCAGAGTGGGTGGGAAAGTGCTGCCCCTAATGTGTCACCCAGATATCGCTTGCGAGCCGCTCGCTCTACCACTGAGCCACCTGGACGTTTACACAAATTGTCGCGGGATGGCATTGGAATGGTGGCTTCACCTCCACACGTCACCATGGAGACCATCAGGGCCTGTTTGACAACTAATGCAGTAGGGTATGTCCAACATAGCGTGCTGCACGCAAGGCACATTAACCTCACCGCCTGTTCAGGAAAGACCCAAGGCCAGATGGTGGGAGACCGTCAGGGCAGATCTTGGAGGTCGTGCATCCACAGTGCAGTGGCTGCGGAAAGTAGTGGAGGGGAGAAAGCGTTGGCGAGGTGCGGTGGTGGCATCGGTGGCTTTGGCCATGATGACCTCTTGACGTTGATCTTGACCGTTCGGCGACAATGTAATCTTGACTACATCAGCTTGTTTGACTCTGCATTCTCTTTTAGATAAAGGACCTGATTCGTGATCACATCGGCCGGCAGGAGACCATCAATCTGGTGGTGATCCCCTGCAATGTGGACATTGCTACAACTGAGGCGCTTAAGATGGCTCAGGCTGTGGACCCCACTGGCGAACGTACCCTTGGTAACAACAACAGTTCTCGGCGCACCACAAACTGCCTTGCAAATGATTTCTCCAATTGGAAAACTTGGCGGGACCTTCCTGAAAAATTATTGCGTCTTAGTGAGGCTCAACTGAGTAAAGAAGTGTAATAATAATGGACACATGGACGGTCTGCCTTGTTTTCCGCCGTTAGCAGTTTCCATTCTGCTTTTAGACGCGCTCTTTATTAAGCAAGCGCGGCCGTTTTTCACGTGAATAATGCACCAGTGCCCGGGGCGCAAGTGGCGCGTCGTTCCTACTTATTTCAGAATGGCAACTTTTCCACCCTAGGGGTCCTCACCAAGCCGGACCTGATGGATGAGGGAACCGAGCGCAACGCTCTGCGTATCCTGCAGAACCAGGTGTTCCCGCTGCGCAAGGGCTACGTGCTGGTCAAGTGCCGGAGCCAGCGCGACGTGGAGGCAGAGCAGACGCTGGCCGAGGCGTCGCGTGTAGAAGCTGCCTTCTTCAAAAAGCACCCCGTCTTCTGGTGCGTGCTCAGTGCCTGCACCCGCCTCCAGCCCACATCTTCTCGGGCCGTGATTGTGGCCTATTTCTGTTTTTAACCCAAAGTGTCAAATTTATTTTTTGTAAGCAGGCGAGCACGCAAGGCTACCCGGATGAGTCTCATTTTAACGAGTCACCTGGGTCACCAATATAGCAAAAGTGATTTCCGTGTAATAAATCGCAACGATGAAGCAAATAGAAATGGGAGCATAGATCGCTGAGTGGCATTTAGAGCAACAACAACCACATGACAGTCGACATTTTAAAACACCACAAGCATAAATCGATATGAAATAAAATAACTGTCCCGTTACAAATGTTGGCTCTGACAAATGATGTTACGAAAAAAATCCACGATAAATATTAATTTACAGAAATATCAAAATGGATATAGGGTGATTGTTGCAGTATTCTGTAAACGGGTAAGGGGATACATGCACATGAAATTTCAAGTGATGAGTTCAGTCTGGTGTGATTCAATAAAGACAACAGCATTGTAAACATATTTTGACAACAATCTTTCCACCAACAGTAAATCCCCGTGGCGCTCACACTGTGCGTTTTCACTTTAACGCGTTTTTTCTTTAATGGAACGTTTTTTGTCTTTACTTGCACCGCTCCCACTATAACGGGAGCTTAGCGCGTGACGGACTACTTTTCTGAGTGGCGTGGGTGTTCGCAGCATTTTTGGTGATGCTGGCAGCTGGTACTTTGCGTGCCTTCCTCTTCCTCAGCCTTTGTTCCACCGTCTTTGTGTGCGTAGGGTCGTCTCACTCCCTTATCTTTTCCACTCTCCACATCTCTCACACTGCGGGTGGAATGCTGTGAAGTATGATGCGTAGTTGACTTTGACCGATGATATCTGCGATTGACCCTTGCTGCACTGTGGTGTCTCTGTCCCGTTAGCCACGTGCACAACGGTGGGAAGATGACCACCACCACCGTTTTGGCTGCCAAGCTCACCGAGGAACTTGTGGACAACATCAAGGTGGGCGGCGGCAGGGTGGCGACGCAGTGGTAACGCTTGCGCCTCGCAGCAAGACAAACTCCACGCCTTTCTGCGTGGAGTTTGTATTGTTCTCCCAGTGTTCTGCACGGTTTCCTCCAGGTTTTCTGGTTTGCTCCCATAGCTAGAAAATAACGCACAACAACCCAGTGATAAAGAATAACCCATAAATAATTGCAAATATATCACTACACGTAGCAATGTCAACCCCTGCTACAAAAAATTGGCAGGACCCTCCTGGGAAACATTGTTGAGGTTTTTCCTGGGCAAACAAGTTTAACAACAAAGTACAACGTACAAACTGATATCTGTTCCCTCGCCGTGAATGATGTCGCGTCGCAGCGCACGCTGCCAAAACTGCGGAAGGAGCTGGCGGAAAAGCTGCGTGAAGCGCGCGCCGAGCTGGAGAAACAGGGCGAGTCCGTCCCGGACGACGCTCGAGCGAAGCAGCTGTTCATCAACGCGGTGCGTGCACACGACGAGCAGAAAAGTGCGTTGCCGCTAGGGCCACTCTTCTATTTTTTGCCTTAATATTTTTTTGAAAATCAATGGCGATCATTTATTTGAGGAACAGCCCCCCCCCCCCCCCGCACACGGTCAGTAAAATTTATTTCATCATGCATAGTCAACGAAGCACCGTTGCGCCAAACGTGTGACCTATTTCGACAGCATTCTCATAAACGGCTCTTGCTGCCGTACATAGCAGCGGTGCTGAACTCATCGGCTGTGCGCAGCTCCTCGTTGCAGGCGACGCCAGGAGGAAGCGTCATCCGTTCTTCACCGCAGACGCAGCTCGCGTCCTGGGCCTGGTCACGGTGTCTTCCCCCTGTAGCGCTGTACCGGAGGCGGTTCAGGCATCGTCAGTTTGCACCGCTGGTCCATGTCACCGCCCCCAATGTCTCGCGTGTGTGTGCTTGCTGTGTGTTCACAGCGCGTGATGAGATACAATGAGGACGTGCGAGGACTCGCGCGGGGAGAGCCCAGCCGTAATCTTCCACGCAACATGATGCTGTACACGCTCGCTCGAGAGCACTTCCGCATGTGGCTCAAGGATCTAAAGAGAGCCGAGGAAGCGTGTAAGATTATCGCTACTGCAACGGTTGTGTTCACATGCTGTGAATTTTTTTTATTTTGCATTTTTCTGGAAGGGTTCAATGTGTAAAACAGCTTACAGCTGAATGTTTCTTATCTGCATTAACAAATAATATGAAGTCACGTGGAATTGAGTGGACCTTACTTTTGTGGGCCCAAAGACACATACGCATCAAACGACATGGAACAAATTCAAGTAAGGGGTAACAAAATTCAATTTTTTCCATTAAAATAAAAAACCTGAAGTTATACTTCATCACAAACTCATCCCAAGTATTTACTGGTGCGAATTTTTTGTCTGAAATTATTGAATCTGTGAACTTAATGGGGTATTGTATTGGTCTACACCAGTGCTTCCCAACTCTTTTGAACTCACTGTCAATGTCAACCCTCAAATAATTTCTACGGACTACCGTGCACCAATAATCTATTTTTATAAATTTCAATTACTCCAAATCGTAGTAACTGCCCGCTTATCATACCTTTGTGGACAAGCAGTGATCTGCAGACCATAGGTTGGAAACCACTTCTGTAATTGTTCAATCCGACGTGCTGGTTGTGTGCTCATTTCTCGCAGGGCTGGAAGAGCTGGATGTTTTGATTCGGGAGTACATGGACAATCGCTGGGGGCGAGAGCTGCCGGGGTTCGTGAGCTACCACGCCTTTGAGAACCTCGCTCGAGTTCATCTGCAACGCTTGGAGCAACCGGCCCTCGACATGCTCGCTGTCACCTGTGGTACGTGCCGCAGCGCCGATAGTCACAATGTCGAGGGAGAGTTTGATGTGTTATTGTTATTATATTTGTCTTTCCCCTTGTTTATTTACTGTCAAAGGTCTCCGCTATACTCTTTTTTCCGCCAAGTTGTCACAGTAAGGGGTAACAATTGCTCGTGTTTTCGCAATTATGTCATTTGCGTGTGAATAAAATAAAAATGGCCACAGTTTTTAAGTTGACACCGACGCACAGTGGGGAGCAGTGGTGTAGCGGTTCGCGCGCTGTGACCCGAGTTCGATTCTCGATCACAGGCAACACCGGTGAAGATGATCTGAACCGGTCCTGGGCCTACACTAGGTCGACTCAGCCTCAAATGAGTACCTGGTGTGGTGTGCAAACATCGCCACTGGGGAGACAAAGGCGGTTGGGCGTGCTGCTGGCCACCCACCCCCTCGTGTGCCATTCCGGCCTTGATAAGTGCTTGCTAACAGCACTTGCCCCAACAGTCTGTTAAGGCTATAGGGGGATATGTCTTGGTGGGTTTGCGTGAGCGGTGCTGAACGAGTGTGCGCATGTGTGTGGGTTTGCGTGAGTGGTGCAGGGAGCGTGCAGGATGTGTGCATGCGACTCGCCGATGACGTGTTCCAATTCCTTCCCGAGTTTAACCGTCTCGTCAAGGTGACCCTTCTTTTAACTACTTTCTTACGATGTCCTTCGAGCTCAACAGCAAAATTTTTCAATCCTGTGTTTGATTCAATTCCATTGCATGTGTTTAACAATGAAAATTATCAGTTCCAGACTTGGCCCGAGGTTCCCCCATCCCCCACCACCCCTCCCCTCCATCCCCCACTGCCCTCCCCGATTTCCCCCACTACCTCTCCCGAAAACCCCCCAAACATCTCCATATCATCCCTCATTGCCCCATAAACCAAGTATTCAGAAAAAAACCTCAACATTTGTCAATAACACTGTGCCCTTTAAATGAAAGATATACAATCGATGACATTTCAAGCAATGGCCCTTCTTCACAACACATACATGAAAATATTTTACGTGTCATAATCACCGTCAACGCTGGACGATTTCCGTCCACTCGGTATCACCGATGACCCAATGAAACCCAGGTCAGCTTGACGAATATTCTCGTCGCTAATTTCACTGATTGAACGAACGCCGACTTGTGTGTTTTTGCACGCTCACCCTTGCCTGGAGGCAGGCAAAGGTGGGAGCACAGGTGCAAGGCCAGGAGCAGAGAGCAAGTGTCCTGATTGTCACCCTCTTCCGCATGGAGAGCATGGTCTACACGCAGGTGCCCGCCACGCGCACCGCGCGCCACTCGGCACACGCGCGGCGCAACTCGTAACACCAACTCTGCCAAATACGTACAGTGAGGGAAAAAAGTATTTGATCCCCTGCTGATTTTGTACGTTTGCCCACTGACAAAGAAATGATCAGTCTATAATTTTAATGGTAGGTTTTTTTGAACAGTGAGAGACAGAATAACAACAACAAAATCCAGAAAAACGCATGTCAAAAATGTTATAAATTGATTTGCATTTTAATGAGGGAAATAAGTATTTGTTCTAATAAACCTACCATTAAAATTATAGACTGATCATTTCTTTGTCAGTGGGCAAACGTACAAAATCAGCAGGGGATCAAATACTTTTTTCCCTCACTGTATGTGTAGGAGCATGGTTGGGCACTGTGTACATTTCCCATTCATCCTTACCTGTAGTAGCAGACATGTGTCAAAAGGGGGTGGTATACTGAATGGGTAAGATGAGTCGGCCCGTTGGGCAAATAGGGCTCCTCAGACCCCAAGAGAGGGGCTGGGGGGTATTCCAGAGCCCCCTAGAGAGTTCCAAAAGGAACGCGTGGCTAGGGGCAGAGAGACCCTCTAACGGGTATAAAAGCCGGACCTCTGGATGGGTCCGGCAGTCATCGTCAAGCTGAAGACCTGCTTAGGCTAGGACCCTGGGAACCCTTGGACCCAACGTCCTTCTAAGGGCCGGGACTGAGTGCACCAGTGGTCGGACTCTGGGAACCCCCGGGAACCCGACGTCCGACCAAAGGGCAGGGACTGAGTGGGCCAGTGGTCGGGACCCGAGGACCTTGGCTGGGTTGTGTCAGCTAGCCTCCCCTAGGACCCCTTAGCTGGAGGGCTGGGAGTACGTAGCCCCAGTTGATAGGGCACACTAGCCCGGAGGTTATACCTCCCCAGGTATCAGGTGGAGGGGCCGCTTCCCCTCTGTTACTGTTGTTATTGGAATAAACGTGTTGCCTCTACAAGCTGTCTCTACTCTGCTTGAACGCACTACATCTGTAAGAGCCATCGTGTAGGGACACATTGGTGCTATGCGAGGGCACAGAGACACCCCCCCGAGATGAGTAGGAAAAGAAAAGGTGGCGGGAACATCCATGAGAAATAGCTTCATAGCTCATCGGATTCTTCCAGGATAAATAAAGATTCCGATTCTGAACGAAGCCGGGAAGAAAAAGGCAGGGGATTATCTTGAGGACCGGAGAAGAGATTTGGGATGATGCCCTGACTGGTGAGCATTTTAAATTTCGTTGTACTGGTGACAATGACAATGAACGATCTATCTATCTATCGAAAGAGAGAGGCCAAGGAACAGTTTTTGTAGAGAGCGCGGAAATGAGAGGAGCTTGCTGGAAGGTTCCAGAAAGATCGTGGGGGGTGGATAAGGAGGGGGGGGAGATATAAACAGGGGACTATGTGACGTGTTTCCGGGGCTCCCGAAGGGAAAAGCTTCTTGTGAGGTGTGAATGTGTTGCAGTGTGTGGGGCTTAAATAAATCCCTTTCCCGAATATCGCCTCGTGTGGACTCGCTTTCACAGACACAGTGCATGGCCCAAAGCGGGAATTGGTACCAACGAAAGTAGCAAATCTTTATTCGTACTCGATTTACGTATACGGCCAATAAGAGTGGTTTACACAAGAACACACTCATTTCAGCCGAGGTCTATCAAAACTGTGGCATACTGTAATAAAGATCAACACACCACCATATGATCTTTATGGCCTTACCCCGGGGTACCAAATAATACAAAATGGCCGAGGCAATTAAATATTTTGTTTCTAGGACACTTTTTTCCAGGGGTGTACTTCACTCCGACTGGGGTACCAATCTCTATGGCAGTTATATAAAAAATATATATTCCGCTACCTATAGTATATACATTACAGCAGTGTTGGTTACTTATTGGACTGTGTGTTGCTACGACTGTCTTTGCATGTGTAGGATATGCTCTATCAGAATAACCTAAGAGAAGAGCACAAGCATGATCTTGAAGTCAATGGAGATACTCAAATTTCCTCCAATTCCCACAAGTATCCCAACACGTATAAGGGCAAAAGTCTACTTGATGTGGGCGGCCTGGACGAGGATCTGCATGTGATGAACAAACATCTGCGCTCATATTTCAAGGTACGTTAAACACATGCAGACAGGTTCGTGCCCATACACATGCACATCCCCAGAAAGAAAAGATCCCCCCTATAATCTGTAATAGACTGTTGGGGCAAGTGCTGTTAGCGAGCACCTAAAGAAGGCCACAGCAGCATACGAGGGGGTGGGTGGCCAGCAACCACGCCCGGCCGCATTTGTTTCCCCAGTGGCAATGTTTACACACCGCACCAGGTACTCATTTGAGGCTGAGTCGACCTAGGGGAGGCCCAGCACTAGTTCATATAATCGTCACTGGTGTTGGCCGTGAGCAGGAATTGGACTCAGGCCACCAAGTTCGTAGCGCAGTGCGCCATCCGCTACAACAACCGCCATTCGCCACTAAGTGGCGGTGACGTCACCACGATGCTTGTGCCAGGCCAAGTGCACCTTGAGGCTACGTGAAGTGTCGAAAGCCCGCTGGCAGGAGGTCACGGGGCAGACCCAGGTGCCACTGGTCGACTGACCGAGATGACCGAGATGACTGGCTGATGCACCACCTGTGCCCCCTACTGTGCCAACTTGCTGTGCTTTAGCCACCCGGCGCTCCGCTCGTTGTTGTGAGCGTCGCTCCTCCGCCCTCCGTTGTTGTTGGAGGGCGACTGCCTCCAACTGCCCAGTAGCGTCCTTCACGAGCCTCCTCCACTGAGGCCGATCTTGACACCGCTGGTACCAGTCATCGGCAAGTCCACTCAGCTCCACGTCCTCCTGTACCACATCACTCCATCTCTTCTCCAGCCCGTGCCGCGCCCGTCTAGCCCCCTCGATCCGGCCGAACAAAAGCTGTTTAGGCATGCGGTGGCTGGGCATGCGGGCTACATGACCCAGCCAACGCAGCCTTGCCTGCCGGAGGAGCTCACTGATGGGACTTTGCCCAGATCTTTCAAGGATTTGTGAGCTCCTCACACAATCCAGCCTGGTTAAACCCAGGATGGATCGTAGGCAGGCCAGCCTAAATGTTTCCAACCGGCGAAGATGCTCCACCAGGGGGGTCCACGTCTCGCAAGCGTAGAGAAGGGAGGGAATGACCGTGGCCGAGAAGACCTGAAGCTTCGTGCGGAGCGACAGACCAGGTAGCTTCCACACAGCGTTACGCAACCGATGAAAAGATATTGCCGCTCGACTGATTCGGAGTGAGACCTCTGCTGATAGACTGGAGCCGGTCATAAGCACACTGCCCAGGTATGGGAAACTCTCCACTCTCTCCACAACTGCCCCATCACCAATTGGGAGTTGTGGGGGTGGAGTGTCCGATGGTACAAAATACCCAGGCAGGTGCTTGGTTTTGGTGGGGCTGATGGTAAGGCCCCACCTCTTAGTGGCACGCTCCAGTCTCAGCAGCAGCGCCTCCAACTCCTCTTCTGAATGAGCAGCTATTACCAAATCATCGGCATACATAACGTGGTTGACCAATAGGGAGCCATCCCTTGATCGCACCCGGGCGTCGATCAGCCTCCCATTATATCTGTACCAAACGGAAATTCCCCCGGTACAGCTATTGAAGGCTTCACGAACTACGCGGTCAAAATAGATGTTAAATAATGTGGGAGCCAGAGGACATCCCTGTCGCACCCCAAGGTGTACAGGGAAAGGCTCCGACTCCCGGCCACGTAGTTTTACCCGGGCCCGCTCACCATCATGAAGGTCCTTAATGATCGTGAGCAGAGGGTCAGGGACTCCGAAAGCACGAAGAACAACCCAGAGTCCAGTCCTACTGATGGTATCATAGGCCTTGACCAGGTCAATAAAGCAGAGATGTAGGTCTTTTTGGAATTCCCTACACCTCTGCTGTAGCAGACGGACAGAAAATATGGCATCTGTGCAGGACCGCCCTTTCCTGAAACCGCATTGGGGCTCCGCAAGCCCCTCCTCAGCGTGCCTAGCAAGGCGATGTTGAATAATCCTTGCCAGGACCTTACCCGGCACACTGAGGAGTGAGATGCCCCTGTAGTTGTTACAGTCTGTGCGGTCCCCCTTCTTAAAGAGGGGGACCACCAGGGCATCCTTCCAGTCCTGCGGAACCCGTCCAGTGGTCCAGACTGTTGTTATGATGTCATATAGGGCAGTCTGTGCACAAACGCCACCCTCCCTCAGCATTTCGCTTGGGAGATCATCTCTGCCCGGTGCCTTCCCTGGTCTCAGACTCCGGATCGCCCTCAGTACTTCCTCAACAGCTGGAACCTCAGCCAGCCACTCACAGGGGGTGACCTCTTCCAATATTTGAGGCACCGCAGCCTCAGCAGGGTTATCCCCACTTTGTGCCATGATGTTTTCCTGGCTGAGAGAATTTCCCTCCCCCAGGACCTCACAGAAATGCTCAGCAAATCTGCAAACCTGTTCCTGGGGGTCGGAGATTGGATCACCGTTTTTTCCTCTAATGATGGTAATAGGTGTGGCGCTGCAGGTTACTTTTTTGATGGAGTTAAATAGTGATTTGTGATCACGGGCCACTGAGGCAGACTCCATCTCCTCAGCAACCCGCGACCACCACCCATCCTTACAACGCCTTACGGCTCTCCGAACTTCCGAGCGAAGGCTGCGGTAAACCTCCTCATTCTCTGACGTGGGATGCTGTAGGCGATGAGAGTGGGCCTGTCGCTTTTTCTCAATTAACCTGAACACCTCCTCTGTCAGCCAGGGTTTCTGGGGAGGTCTGGACCGCGTACCCAAAGCAGCCATTGCAGCTGCATGAGTCACAGTCCTAAACCTCGCCCATTTACCCTCGACATCAGGTGGAGTGGGGGACGATGCCAACCCCAGCTGCAAGCGATGATGAAATTCTCGCTTGCAACTTTCATCAGCTAACTGAGACCAGGCCACTTTTGGTTGGAATGGGATCCTGGGTGTACACCCACCACCGGAGTGGAAGAAAGGCAGGCGCATCTTACAGATGACTAGTCGATGGTCAGAGGACAGATCAGCTCCACGGTAGGTCCTGGTGTCAAGGACATGGGTTCGCATCCGCTGGTCCGTCACTATGTAGTCCAGCAGATGTTCTTGCTTGGACCCGGCATGTATCCATGATGTTGTGTGGATGCGCCGATGCCGGAAGAGCGTGTTGGTAATTACAAGCCCATGGGCTGCACAAAAATCTAGCAGCCTCCTACCGTTATTATTGAGCTGATCTGGCCCATGCCTTCCAATCACTCCAGACCAGGTGTCAGCATCATGACCAACTCGGGCATTGAAGTCACCCAACAAGATGACTCTGTCCCGAGTGGCCACTTTAGCCAGCACCTGTGACAGGAGGTCATAGAAAGCGTCTGACTCATCGGCTTTGCTTGCATCCCTCCACGGATGTTCGTCTTCGGTGGGGGCATAAGTAACCACGACCACCACTCCTCGCCTCTGGTTGATGGGAAGGCGAGCCCAAAGTATCCTGGGGCTTACAGCTTCCCACACCTCACCGCCACGCTCCCACGCCCCCTTCATTCTTTTGTTCAGAAGAAGAGCCACACCCTGTTGTTTGGCAGTCTCCTGCCCCGAGTAGAGGACTGTCCACCCCTCATGGTGGCAGGAGCCAGAACCGGTCCACCGGACCTCCTGAATGCCACAGAGATCCAGGCGGTACCGGTCCAGCTCCCGACAGAGGAGTGGCAGCCTCTCCTCCGCAGTGAGCGTTCGAACATTCCACGTGGCCATCCGCAATGGTTTTTTGTTGTTTCTGGAGGAGCCCCGAGGGTGAAAATTCAATCTCCTGGCTCCGCCAAATGGGGTTTGGCCAGGAGACGTCATAAAAGCCTGACCCCCCGGGGCCTCCGGCACAAGCTTATTTGTTACAGGTTTATGTTTAATTCGTGGTTTAGTGGTAATGAATTGAAGGTGGAGGGGTTACCAGCCCCTCACACCCGTCCAGAGCCCCCGTTTAGCCACTGTGGTGGTCACAGACGCCATGAGGGGAGAGGCCAATGGGCATTGGCCCTCCCCCCACAGCACTGCCCACGACAGTGTTGCCCGTCCGGCACCGCGAGGAGGTAGGAGGTTGTTTTGCCGGACATCCGCTACACACACATACACACATACACATGTATATAAAATATACACACGTGCACAAAGGCTTGTCAGGACCCCCCTGAAAAAGAGTCTTGAGACTACTCAATGAGGCTCTCCTGGGTAAACAGGTGTAGTAGTGATCATTGTGTTTAGTTTGTTGTCCTTCCCCAAACCTCCGAGTAGCACAATTGGCAACGCATGGTGCAATAGAAGTCCAACATGCATACGTCCACAATACTAAAACAATCAAGTGGAAAAGAACTCTGCTTCGGCCCACGAAAAACTCGATCCGATCGGGCGTGCGATCCCCCCGCGTGCCGCAGATCGCGCTGACGCGGCTCATGGACATGGTGCCCATGGCGGTGCGCTTCAACATGCTGGACGAGCTGGTGGTGGCGCTGGGCGTGGAGCTCACGGCGCTCGCGCAGGAGGGCAACCTCGCCGAGCTGCTGTGCGAGGATGAGGACACAATGGAGAAGCGGCGCATGGTGATGGAGCGCGTGGAGCGCTTGCGCAAGGCGTGCTCCACCATCGAGAACGCGCTGTGAGGCGCGCGGTGGCTCGCACGCTCACCGGTGGACAGTCGACTTCCCCCATCGCTGTTCCATCTGTTGCTGCGCTGGCCAAATGATCAAACGCATTGGAACATCGACAGGCCGATGCGCACATCCCCTTCATAGATGGAAAATTAAAGACATGCCTCAGTCGTGTGATAGTGGTCATAGAGTAAGCCACTGTTGCCTGTGCTCCTTCCATATGCAAAAATAGAATAGACTCAATTATTACAGAGTTTCATAATCCTGATTATTAAGTTTGAATAGCGTCAGATTCCTGATTATTATAGACATGTATGCAGTAAAAGTATTGACCAATAGTTCATTGGAACGTGTTTACTCGTAAGCGTTTTAATGTTTAAATCAAGGTTTTTATTTCAATAAACAGCATATACACGGATACATCTTCTCGCGTGTTACACCACTGACATGGAAAGGATTTTCATTTCATAAAATGCTACAGTATACAATTCCCAACATTTTAGCATAAACATGATTGTTTATCCTAATATGTAAATTCCATAAATGCAACCTACATAGATTTCTCAGAAAGATGTAGATTTATATGAACACACTTAATTTGCATATTTGTCAAAGCACGTTATATTAGTGTGTAAAAGAGTGTACACTGTTGAGAGTGGAGCTGTGCATAACATCGTTTGACCCTCATCACAGTATTCGAAAACGTGGAAGTAAAAAGTGACTGGATTTATTTTCAAGTCAAATGTTGACTCCCAGCTCAAACCGAGCATTTGACTCGGTGCTCATCTCGTGTTGACAGCCGGTAGTGGGAATTCCGCATTCCCGGTGGCGCACAAGGCTATCCATGTAAGACAACCACGAGCTGATCTCCCCACAAAGTGGTACTCATTTTAATCAACCCCAGAGGGGTTGATGTGTTGATTCAACCTCCTCAGCCAAGATTTGAACCTACAACCTTCCAATAAGAGCTGCTCGCGCTAGGCCACCCGACCAGATGATAGACACAGAATGGTCTGTTTGGTTAAATAGAATGAGTCAAGAGATGAATCCTTCGGGCTGACTGAACTGCTGCACTCAGTCAAACAGCTGTCCCCCCACATCCTGTACCTGCACGTATCTCGCCTCGAATTAATTTGCTGCTTTGGCAAAAACGTTGCTCCACAATTATTTTAGTGACTTTGTCAAGTGACACTTGCTTCTGTTATTTTAACGTTTTGTCCTGACAAAACCAAACACGTTTGGTGTTGACAGTGTGTTTTCTTTAGTCCTGATTATGATTATTGTTGCTACCTAACAAATGCAATGGAAAGCTGTATATCCAGCAATCAAAATCGGTCAATTACATTCAGATTACATTTAGATATTTAAAAGGCCCAGCCTGTCTTAATGCGCTGCCCTTGTACAATGCGGGTAATCACACAATTTCTGTTTTGGAGGTTGACGCAGCCCATCATCTCTCCGGGGTCGATCAAATTACTAACAGTTTGTGGAGAATTTAGCAGCGGTTGTCTGATGGAGAGAATCGCTGGCAGAAAGGCGTCCGCAAGCGTGAACTAAACAGGGCATTTGGTCCACCCTTCCACATCGACCAGGCGTGTTGGAAGAGGTCGACGTACCCCCACTTCACCCCACCCCACGTGACCTGCCGATTGACGTAACTCAGGGGTGGGGAACGTCCGGCCCGCGGGTCGTATAAGGCCCCCGAAATCATTTGGTCGGGCCCTGCCAAGGCAACCGCAGGCGGGACTCGAAATTCAATAAATCTAGGAGAAAACCTGGAAAAGCAGTTGCGAGTAGCAACATCATCAATATCAGCTAACATCACACGCCTAACCAAAGAGAAGCAGTTCCAGCCATAACATTAGGGGTGAGTTAATTAAATGTTTGACCAAATATAACAGGCTCATTTTTAAGTTGATAATGTTGTATTGCCCGCGAATGATTATTAATATCCAAATGGCCCTTGGGAGAAAGAAGGTTCCCCACCCCTGAGTCGTAACTGGCGCCTTCCCGTTGATCCTGCTGGGTGGACAGAGGCACCAGCGGGGCGAGATGAGGATATTTTTGCGTTGTTTCGACTGCCGCGTCAGGAAATGGAATCGAACCGGCAATCTTCGTGCGCTGAGCATTACCCCACTTTGGCAGCTTCTGGGGAAGCGTGATGTTTGTTGGTGGATACCTTGCATGTACACGCGTGGTCACAAACACGCATATATATATATAACCATCTAGAGGCAGCCAAGAATAATCACGTAAAACTAACCTGGGGATGATCTCAACTCCCCAGTATCATGGGCAAATCGTACAAGGTGAATGTATCTGTGGTTACCGTTTACGTGCACGTGTCCTGTTCCCAGTTTTTCAGAATATTCATGAGAATGGCCCACGGAATAGGATATCACAGAGTTACCTCTGAGATCCCTTCGAATGATCTACGGCCCAGACATTAGGAGGCAGTACTTTCCCATATGCTCTACATGTGAGAGCAACATTCATCGCATGACAGTCGAACCTATGTTTTCGATTCTCAGAGCTGGAACTTAAGGCAAACGCAGCATAAAACCACAGTTAACGTGATGGTCATTTCAAACTGGACTTGAACCAGGTTTCATCAAAGGTGGCTGCCCGAGTTCGAACCCAGGACCTCGGCACTCTGACCTCTGAGCCGCCGGAATGGACATAGGGGAGGCATTAACACGGGCCTATCAATTGCTTTCTGCTGTGTGCATTAATATCAAAAATTCAAAGGGCCTCGCAGAAATTGGCATCACTGGGTTCTGCTCCGAGATAGAAACATTGCTCTTCGGATCAATCGTCTGAGCAGTCGGTAGTCATAACTCTCAGCACTACGGGTAACACGTGACTGAGGATTTTAATGCGAGTGCATGAATAATGATGCGTCAGTGGCCGTGTGTCCGCGTGACCGCAGAGTGCACTCGCCAAGTGCATGTTTTTCATATCAAACGAGTGTAAAGAGGGTGTTTTAGGCAGGATCTATCTGTGTACCTGTGTGGATCAGGAACAAAGATAACTAAGCTGCTGTGATAATAAGTTGTTGGGAACGGTGTCTGTGATGGATGCTATGCATTTTGCGGGGAAAAAAACAGGATAAGCAATGCAGAAGTTGGGAAGAGAACGCGGCAGGTTAGGGCTGTAGACAGGATCAGGCGAAAACGGTTCTGCTGGATAGGACGTGTGTCCAGGATGGTGAAGGGCCAATTAGCAACACAGACATTGGAATGGTCTTCAAGAGTCCAGCAAACAAGTGGAAGAGAAGACCTGAGACCACAGGGTGGGAGACTGTCAGGGCAGATATTTAGAGGTCGCGTGTCTACTGTGTAGAGAGCAAAAGCAAGGTTGTGGTGGCATCGACGACTTTAACCATGATCACCTCTTGATGGTTTGAATGCTACTGTCTGGTTGAGGACACCATAATGAAGCGACCACTTGTCGCGAATGGAGGTTAGAGGGACCATATTTTGGGCTCTACGCAAATGGATGAATAACGATGGAAAGAAACAGACGAGACGCACTCACACACGCACACAGAGACATACGTTGGACGTCGTGTGGGGCCCTAAATTTGTGTGTGGGGGGGGGAGGGGGGGTGTTGCTGTGCAGCTGTAAGGACCGGGACTCTGTGCGGGCCAGTGTTGGGACTCGGGGACTCCCGGCTCTACGCCCTTGTAAGGGCAAGTTCCGAGGAAGCCAAAGTCTAGACCCGCACCTTGGCTGGGTCGGGTCAGGTAGCCTCCCCTAGGGCAATTGTAGCCGGAGGACCCGAGAGCGTAGCCAGAGTAGGCTGTGTCCCTAGGCTGTGTCTCTAGGCTGTAAGAGAGTATCAGGACTGTTGGAGTGTTGTATCGGAATAAAGAAGTTACCTCTACAAGTGTCTCCGGAATCCATTACATATGCAAGGGGAGACTCTTTCTCACCCCTGTGTCGGGCGTGGAATTGGTATCGATAGTGAAATGGTGGACCATAGACTGCAACCAGGATCCGGAGTGCCGACTGCAGCGTAGAGCTCGCCGACTTCGGAGTTGTAATGAGGGTGGCGAGGGCATCATCATCCAATGTCGTTGGGAGCGCACGCAGCACCTTGTCGTCCATCCACTTGCACATTTCCTGATGGTCGAGGAAACTCCGCTCGAACGCTCCCCAGTCGCCGCCCTCCGACATGAATTTTTTTAACACAGGCAAGCGCTGTTGGAATGATGGCTCCGTCTATAACAACCGCTGCCCACTGTTAATGTTGTTGCTGTCAGTACTGGAGGGAATGGCGGTTCCTATCGGCTGTCGCACCACTGTTGACGCGGAGCCCTCTGATTGGTCCCGGCAGCGCCCATCCGCCGGTGATGACGTGGCACCTGCTGATTGGTCCTGGCAGCGCCCGTCTGCTGGTGACGATGCAGTGGCTGTTGATTGGCCTCCGTTGTCCACGTGGTATGCTAGGGCCCCCCCCTCAGCACCAGCTTCGCCCATGGCGGCAATTTCAAATCGTGGCGTGGTCGCGATGGTGGGAACGGCCGTTGACCACCGGCCATCACCTCGCTGTCCTCCCGCCCTCAGCCCCCCGCGATTAATTTCTTCTAGCCTGGAGGCTGCGGCCTACAGTAGCTCCGCAAGACGAGTGAGCCGCTTGGAGACCATCTCCCGATGGCGGCCACTCTTCTTGCTGTTGCGGCGGCTGTTGGGCCGCCTGTGGCACCTCGGCATTCTCTGCCAAGCGTGCCGGCCCTTGTCCCAGCAGAGTTGTCTTCATCTCCCGGCTCCCACGTACGATTTGTCTGTCTCGTATCCATGGTAAGTACTTACAAAGACCACTTCTGGCACCAGTTGTAGTGAGTTCTGACTCGACAGAGACGGCGAAGTGGAGACAACACTGTTCATTATATCTTAACACTTTAACAGGCAACGTGTACAACTCTTGAAAGGGTAATGGCCCCTTCACCCGTACTATACTGGGATACACCCCTAGGCTATCTGCCTATCTACCTACGCTCCCAGGTCCTCCGCTAAGGGCTCTAGGTCAGGCTACCTAACCTGGCCCAGCCAAGGCTCAGGTCCCAACCACCAGCCACACAGACCCGGCCCTTAGAAGGACATCGGCTCTGAGGCTCTGGGGTCACACTGCTGGCTTGCTCTGCCCGACCCTGAGAAGGACTGTGGGTCAGAGGAATCCAGGGTCTATCTAGCCGGTCTTCAGTCTTCAACTGGGTCTTCGGACGTCAGCTCGCAAACACTGCCCCTATCTCTCTGGCTCCCAGTCTTTTATACTAACAGCCCACCGAGGAGCGGTGTTCTGAGGGATCACAGCACACTCTGCAGCCCCCACCTGTTGGGAGGGGCGCGGGGGATCCAAAGCCCACAGCCCCCTGTAGGTAAGCCAAGGGTGCTAGCTGTAAACGGTGTGTGTTTGTCCCGTAACACCACTACACAGACACAATTTCATGCCTCACAACCTCACCTCCTTCATGCCTCACAGCCTCACCTCCTTCATGTCTTCATAGAAGAAGTAGAGGATCGGGTGCTTCTCTCGTGTTCCACCAGCTGGTCACGTGATCATACCAGGAGCCCCACGGCACTGTGGGCAGTTGGGACACGCGCACACGTTGGCACCCTGGTGACAAGATGTTAACTACCTCTCCTGGTATACAGGAGGTCGTGGGTCTGATCCC